CACACACACACACACACACACACAGAAGAAGAAGAAGAAGAAGAAGAAGAGGAAGGTATGGTGGGCGAGAATTGGAAGAAGAAGAGATGTCGACCTCTCCACAGCCTCACCTGCAGGTAACTGCCGCATGAACTAACGAGCTGGTGTGCCTCTCTGTGCTGCAGGTCGCTGGAGAAGGAACCAGCTACCGCGCCCAGGTAAGCTGTCCGCACCCCGCAGGTATGGCCACTGCCTCTCCCTCACCTCTCCACAATAGCGCAACGCTGAAAATAGCGCGCTCCTCCAACAGCATGTCGCCTAAAGGAGTGAGGTCTCCTGTCTGTCCAGGAACTGGACTGGCCCAGCTAGATATAGCGCTGGGCCTGACTGCAATGCCCACGGTCTGCAATCTGGGCCGTGCGATCATGAGTCCGATCGACGGTCCAGTTTGCAGGCAAAAGTCCTGCTCCTGGTCCTAGGCCAAAAAACGGCCTGCCTGGGTCCCTACCGGACATCCAGGCTCTCCTGCTGATGCAGCAGGAGTCGTCCACTATTGGACGATTCCGAACCTGGCCAAAAACGGCCCAGTCAGGAATCTGGCCTCTCAGAGGCCCCAAACATGGTCCTGGTCGGACATATTGAAAAGTCCGAAACGACGCCCTAGAACAGACAAAAATAGAAGAGACAACTGGGTCAGCAATAAAAAATAATATAAATAAAATGAATGCTGCCTCAAACTGAACCTGCATTGCATGAGAAACGTGCCTGGCCTCCTCGGATGGCCGTGGGCCTCCAGGTCGTGCACGTGGGGCCCTCAACAACCGCCAGGGGCCCAAAATGGGGCCCGTGTGGCAGCCTCAGCATGCAACACCCCCTCCTTATGAAGCCAAGCCGGGGTGAAGGTGAAGCTGATGATCAGAAGGTGGAACTTGGACGCACGTACGGCATGGAGCCGAAGGTACCGGCTTGCCTTGCTGCTTGTGTTCGTAACGTGTGAGGTCATCGAGGGCCGTAGCCTCTAGTTTGACACGGGTCAACCAACGGTCAGCCTTATGGCTACAATATGATCAATGCACCAAGTATTCAGTCCGCTTGTTGCCATAGCGCCGCTGCCAAATGATGTTGCTGACCTCCTGAAAACCGTCCATGGAGGGAGGGTCTTGCGATCGTCGCCCGTGATAGTCATCGCATTTCGCCGAAATGAAAAGAGCCAACTTCGAACAATTAAAGACTGGGTGGACGGGCAAGTGGGCGGGCACCTTAATCACAAACGAGGGCCCATCCGGTGTGTCGCCAACGGGCACTACAATGCGAGATGTCTTGCTTGAGGCTAAACTCCGCGGTCAAGACGCAAACAAGGTTGACCACGCGGAACAGGCAAGGAAGACGCTGGGGATTGGCTTGTCGGCTCATGCGCTGCTCCGTCTTCAACATCTGATCCCGTACCTTGACAAGGAGCTCTTGCATCGGTCGAATGAAGGCAAGATGGTCGTCGCTCTGGTCGTTTGTGGAATGATAGTGCCCAACGGTGATGTGATCGGCGAGCCATGCTCAAACTCACAGGGCGAAATCCAGATAGTCGGATGAATAGATGAGTTGTATGCCAACTTGACGTCCGGTCAACCGCTCAACCCAATCCTTTTGACCGGGGCGGATGAGAGTGCGAAGAAGAACCTATGCGGTTTGATGCGCTCTCTCCGTTTGACCATCGGTTTGTGGGTGGTGAGTCGAGCTCGGCTTGAGAGATGAGCCCCATCGTTTGACGAGAGCATCCTAAAAGTCGGACATGAACCGAGTGTCACTGTGGCAAACGATCTCCTTGGGGTAACCCTTGGTACGAATCCAACCGGCGTAAAGAACCTCGACCAACTCTAGTGCCTTGGCATGATAGTGACAAGGCAAAAACATGGCGAACTTGGTGAGTCGATCGACCACAGTAAGAATCCCATCCACGCCGATCGCAACTCACCAAACGGACGGTGATTGCGGGATTTGCAACGCCGGCAAACCTCGCATGACTCGCAAGAGCGCGTGACTTCGCCGAGGAGGCCGGGCCACCAAAAGCGCTTGCGCAGTCGGCCAATTGTACGATTGACACCAAAGTGTCTGGTGACAGGAGCGTCGTGGAACTTGCCAAGAAGCCGCGTATGCAAGTGTGGATCACTTGGCACGCAAAGAAGGTCCTTCCCTAGCTAGCGGACGAGCAAGTAGCCCTCTTGGATCCGATAGTGCAAAGGTGCCGGATTCGGAAAGGAGCAATTTGCGTACTTGTCGCGAAACTCAGGTCGACTTGATAGCCTCGGATAAAGTTGTCATGCAGGTTGTCGTCGATCTCAAAGGTAGAGTAGACCGCTGTACAAAGGTCCGTACGCCGCGAAAGTGCATCAGCAAATCGGTTTGACTTGCCCGGAATGTGATAGAGTGTGAAGTTAAATTGATCGATGAACGCCATCCATCGGCCGATCGTGGTGGTCACCGTGTCTTGCGACTTGTAGAACACCAACGGGTTGTTGTCCATGACCCAACGGAACTGGCGTCGACTGAGAAGAAAGTGCCGCCATCTCTTGAGAGCGTGGACGAAGGCCAACAATTACTTCTTCCGTGCGTCGTCAATCGAATGCACGAGAGGTACTTTCTTGCTAAAGTACTCGATTGGATGTCAATCCTCGCCATATGTTGCTCGAGGACGACACCAATTCCATAGTCGGACGCGCCGGTAGTGACGCGTGTAGGCAAAAGAGGGTCATAGATGTGCAACATCTGTGCGGATAACAATGCGGCCTTGAGAGCCAAGAAGGATGCCCGCTCTTCATCGTCGAAGTCAAATGGTCGGTCCTTGCATTGAAGCTTGGTCAACTGTGTCGCGATCTTCGAGTAACCCTTGATGAAGTGTTGGTAGTAGCCGACAAGTCCGAGAAAGGAACTAGCATCCGTGACGTTCTTCGGTTCCGGACACTCTTGGACGGCTTGAATCTTGTCCGACAACGGACTAATGACCTTCGGTGTGACAAAATGACCCAAATAAACTCTTGACTTACGAACTCACACTTGTCACGGTTGGCCTTGTACTTAACGCGATAAAGAGTCTCCAACACACGTTGAAGATGCTCAAGATGATCCTCCAAGTTCCGACTATAAATGAGGATATCATCCAAGTGGACCAGCACAAACCGGTCCAACATAGCGCGGAACTCGTTGGCCATCGCCGCTTGAAAAGTCGTCAGGGCATTGGTGAGGGCAAAAGGCATGGCAACCCACTCAAAATGCCCGTACCGCTTCTTGAACGCGGATCGGCAGCGATCTTGCAGACGAATCGATATTTGATGATAGCTGGACTTCAAGTCCACCTTGGAAAAGAACCTCGCGCCGCCCAAACACTCAAGAAGATTGTCGATACGCGGAAGAGGCCCCATATTCTTGACGGTTTGCCCGTTGAACTTGCGATAGTCAATGCAAAGACGAAGGTCCTTGTTTTTCTTCCGTATGAAGAGAACCGGCGCACCATAAGGTGAGTTGCTAGGCCGGATCAATCCCTCAGCCAATATGTCATCGAGTTGCGCACGGAGAACCGTGAGCTTCTCCTCGCTCATGAGATAAATGCAACCCTTGGGTGGCACAACGGCGGCCTCAAGAATAATCTCGTGAGAGATCGGCCGGTCCGGCACCATGCCAGATGGAGGCTCAAAAATATCAGTGAACTCGTCAAGCAACCGCACCACGCGAGGGTCCGACGACAAAAACATAGGTGCATGCTCGGTCACCTCGACGGTTCGAAGAAAACAAAGGCCAATTTCATCGGTTCGCTCGTAAGCACAAGTGGACCGAAAACTTTGGCTGTGACAACTTGGCACCGGATCGAAGTGCGCGGAGGAGGTATGGTACACAGGACTTCGGTGTCGAAATCGTCGTGAACGGTAAGCGTCCGCCAATGGAAGTTGACTGTGTGGTCCGCGCTTGCAAGCCAAGGCATCCCCAAAATCATGTCGTAGTCTGTGTCTAACACGTCAAACGTGACGGCTTCGCGTGCATGAGGTGCGAAATAAACCGGCATGGCTTCAGTGTGGCGATCAAGAAGTTGTTGCGTCTGACCGTCCGCCATCTTGACCGCCGCAGGATGTGACTTCCTCTAAACTTGCGCCAAGGCCAACCCGTTGAATGAAGGACTGGCTCACAAAATTGCAAGTCGCTCCGCTATCCAGCAAAGCGCTGCAGGACGCTTGCCCAACTTGGATGAGGATATAAAGTAGTGGTGCGTTGTTGTCGTCGTACCGCTGCATGCAAAACTTGCGGGACACCTTGGAAATGTACACAAGGAGGTCCCCCACAGCAACTTGGTCATCTGTCGGCGAAGTTGGTGGTGCAGAGAAGGACAAATATTTGTGCAAGTGGGCGCATAGTACTGCGCATTGCGGCTCTGGCAAGCAGCTCGTTGAAGGGAGAGGAAGCCATGCAAAATCCTCGGCCGGCAACAGGTCCAAGTCCACTACATTGAGCTCGCGCGCAGACTCCCTTGAAGAAGGTGAAGACGAAGAAACTGGACTGCTAGCAGACGGAGAGAAAGCCGCACACATGACTTGTCCTTGAACAAGAGATCCCAGCGATGGAACGAGCCGGGCAGCAAAGTCCTCAAAAGAAGAAAGAGAAGGACTCACGACTTCCGCATGTGGCCCGGAACTAAGGGAGGTTGCTTGCGAAGCATCCGGTTCCGATGGCATCAAGATTGCAGCCGTATCACTCTCGGCGGTGCTCACTTTCCCAAATGGGACTTCCCCTTGGCCTTCGTGGGACAGCTCGCAGCCTCGTGTGCATTGCTGTTGCACCACAACCAATACTTGTATCTCGAACGGACCTTGTACGAGCCTCCGTGTTCGTCACGATGATCTGTGAGGCTTGGCGAATAATAGCTCACTCATGGTGAGCGCCCTCGAAACCTGCATCAGCGCATTTTGCAATGCCCGGCATGATCGTGTAATGAAGTAATCCTTCACGCCCGTGAAGCTGATCGGCAAGTTGGGCGCGGATGCCAAGCGTTGGAACTCGACGATCCAGTCCGTGCTCGGCATGGAGTTCGGGTGGAACTTCTGCAGCTGCTGCATGAACTTCAGCTCGGGTGGTTCCACTTGGAATCACGTATGCCATGCTGCAGCGAGATCATCCCAGTTGATCTTCGTGTGCAGCTCGGAGACGGCGACCTTGTGGGTGGATAAAATGTTATCAAGCCAAGATTGACATGCGACACCCGTCCGGTGATGGATACATGTATGTCGGTCGTTGGGCAGCACATACCACCACCTCGGAAGTGGATCGGTCTTCGATGAATCGCAGAAGACCGAGATGTCGTCCAACTTGGGTGGTCAGCCGGAGGATGACGAAGGCGGACCTGCTGCTGCAGTCGCAAATCTGCTGCTCTAGCTGCTGATTTGTTGTGTGCTGTTGCCAATCAGTATCCTTGAGAGTGCCAACGTCCATCTCCAATGTGGTGACGCGGTCGGGAGTGTTGGATGGGCCAACGGCCGTTGCTGCACCTGGTGGTGTGCTTCTTTCTTTTGTTAACTGCCGGTTGAAATTTGTGAACGCTGGTAATTTTTTTTTGTGTGTGTGTGTCTGTGATTGTGCAACGTGGTCGGGGCCTTGGCAGAGAATTTTCTGCGAAACCTCAGGGTGCGAAGTGCTGAAGTGCAGGCAGATGTCGAGAGAGAGGCTGCTGAGCTGGCAAGGAGGAAACTACAGGAACAACGGGCTGAAGAGGAGAGAGAAGGAATGATTGCAGAATTGACATCCATTCAGGCCATTGCAAATGCAAAGAAGGTAAAAGATTTATTATATTTTCTTTAAACTTTTTTTTTTTTTTTTTTTTTTAAACTGTTGACAGTGTTTAGATAGCCCCAGCGTGGCAAGCGCGTGTCAGCGGACTCACAGACACTCTTTCCTGCTCTAATTTTGAACTATTATCTTCACCCGAATAGAATGCCCGGCAGTGTTGGTGGACCCAGGACCCTTCCCTTGAATGGGAGCCTCCCGGTTGAACCGGCCGGTCGTCTGTCCCGGTTGGCTCCCCGTTCACCCCAGTGCATGTTTGCTGGGGGCGTGAAAAATTCTTTTTGGGCCTGGTTTGTTTCTTCGCCCTTGCAGACCCTGCCATCATACCAAAAATAAGAAACGGGGCCAGTATTCACGAGAAAAAAAAAGCGGTCAATCGTAGCCGCGCGATCTTTGTTGATCGGTGGCAAAGATCAGCTGCAATTCAAACAGTGGGGGCAGTTCAAATGGCAGGCATGAAAGACTACACCCCCC